TAGTAGCCTTTGCACATAATTACGCTACAATTGGCATAAACACAGTGATGCTTTGACTGCAGTCAAACAATTAGCCCTTAATGAGAATAAAAAATGCTATGCTTTTAGTCAGTCTGAAGGAGTTAGGAGTGGGGCCTGGTTTCACGTCTTCTCATACATATGTACACATATGAGATTAAATAAATAGATCAAAAATGATTGAGCATGGACTACACAAAAGCTAATTGTGTTTAACATCGCTGTGGTTTTCTAAGACTCTTGTACAATTACAAGATCTGCTTCACCCGGATCTAGCCACCAGTTAAATCCTTTCCTCGTCCACAACAGCAAATACGACGCCTAAATCAAGACAGCTGAAGAGATGCAAATGTGAGAGTTTTGAAGAATTTTGTCATAGAAAAATAGCTCCTAAGTTATATAGCATCTTACCTATTCCAAACTCATTTCTATGCAGCACTTTGGAGTCAGCAAAACTTAGCAGGAAGACGACAAGAATGGACGCCCTCCACTTCATGGTGGCTGGTTTGCTCGTCGTTGGCAGTGGTAGAAGCCGAACATGCAGAGCGGTCCTGCTGGTGTCCTTTTATACCCTTCTTAAGTGATGCCTGTTAACTAGTAACCATTGGCTGGCAAACATGTTACTTTACTTCCTTAGGTTGAGATGGGGCAATTTGCCAATAATTAACAGCACAGGGGTCACTTGTGTCTTATGTTCAAGGACACAGACCACTTCAGAGTGGAAAAAAGAACAAAACATCTTGCAGACGCTGCAAAATTCTTCTCCAACTAACCTGTTCAAATAATTCCCCTAAGCTGAAGAATAATTTTTATTTCAATTTAGAACATTGATATAGCCACAAAGGAAAGATACTAGACTTACTATGTAACTCAAAATACATTCTTTTAAAAATAATAAAATACATATCATATGCTAGTCACTGAACATATTGTTTAATTCAGGCTCTTCATTAATGAATCTATTTTTGATTATAGTGTTATTATTGAACTCAAAAATTTGTCAATAAGGTATACTTTATTTAATGTACTATGTATGATTTAACACAGAAAACTTACAGCATAAACCTTGATTAAATAAGTCTCATTCTAATTAAGATACCAAAGAACAATGTATGTCACAGGTAAGTGGGTCAGCTCCATCTTCCTCAATTCTGTATGTATGTCACAGTTAAGTGAGTCAGCTCCATCATCCACAATTTTGTATTTATGTATGCCAAGCTAAGTGGGTCAGCTCCATCATTCACAATTCTGTATGTATGTCATAAGTAGGTGAGAGTCAGCTCCATCATCCTCAATTCTGCATGTTTGACTCAAGTCAGAGGGTCAACTCCATCATCCACAATTCTGTATGTATGTCACAGGTAAGTGAGTCAGCTTCATCATCCACAATTCTGCATGTATGTCACAGGTAAGAGGGTCAGCTCTATCATCGACAATTCTATATTTATGCACATGCCAGGTAAGTGAGTCAGCTCCATCACCACTCGGCAGCTCAAGATGGTTATGGCCATACTAAGCAATAAGCACTGATACACATCTGACCCTAAGAGTGCTTCTTCTCATACCTTCACCATCTATGTCGTAGAGTCTGTGGCAACTTAACTTCTCTACACATTAGAGTACCTGCAAACGCTTACAAGTTCCCAATGTTTACCTAAACTATAACTCAAGCTAACAAGTCAGAACCTGTGCAGTTAAGATCCGGGCATCAGTGCTTTCTAAGACTTCATATGTGATCAGTTTTATTGCAGTTTTTATTTTTTGAATTCATTGTTTAGACATGTATTTTATGTGCTTGGGTGTTTTTGATTAAATGTATGTCTGTGCATCATGTGTGTGCCTATTGCCTGAGGACGTCAGAAGAGGGTGTTAGATCCCCTGGAGCAGGGAGTGCGGTAACTACTGAGCAATCAATCTAGCCCATGAGCAGTTAGTTTTTATAAAGATGATTACAGGAACAAAGGATCTGTACGAGAAAATGATTATAGTACACTCATAAAATGGAGTGAAAGGCAGCTATCGAACCAATTTTGTGGAGCAATGGTTAATGCAATGGAAATATTCTCATAATGTATCACTAATAGAAAGCAGGAAAAAACGAATGACACTGTTCTTAGGCCTCACCTGTTCTCCTTACTCTACTCAAAATAAGTAGACTAATGCACAGCAATGGTATGTCATGGCATCTAAGCATTAGCTTTCTAGATTGCAAGTGACTAAGACCCTCTCTCTCTTCTCTTTTCTCTCTCTCTCTCTCTCTCTCTCTCTCCCCCTCCCTTCCTCCGTCCTTCCCTTCCTCCCTCTCCTTTTCCTTCACTTTCCTTCCTTTCCTCCTCATTGAATAAAATAACAATGGATGATTGAAGTAAGCTGGGTATATTTTAGACTGTGCATGATGTATCAAGTGACCTAATGTCTAAACAAAGACTTAAGTCACCACCAGCAGTTCAGATGGAGACATTTATCATACCACGAGCAGTGCTGATTTTTTGAGCTTCTTGAGTGTTCCATTTATTTATGTTTTCACTTCCTGTGGTCAGACCACCTTATGTTTCATCTCTAGAGGAATCTGATCTCAGACACAGACCCAGTTTGTGTACCCTCTAAGAAGGGGCAGACTTTCCTTGTCCAGCCTTTTGGCACAGGGAGATGGCTATGCCTTAACATTGGGTGTTACGCAAATGTGTGATGATAACAGTACTCTGAAGAAGAGCTGAAAAGTTCAGACCGTAAAGCACTGGGTATAAAAAATTGAAATATGGTTTTTATGGTTCAGGCTCTACACACTTGCCCTAACTCAGATAAACAATTCCAACGCGTGTCCCTGAAGCATGGTGTCAAAGCAGAACGCAACCCTTTCTGAATGGATAATGAAGGTGTTTATTCAATGACAAGGGTTTAAAGTGGAATAAGAGTTTCCATTTGACAACTTCCAGGATTTATATGCTTTGAGATGTTTTCCTTAGTTTGGTCGCTTGGCTGGTCAACTGTTTGGATGGTTGCTTTGTGGAAAACTGGCTTTGAGTTGAGTTTGTGGTTTTTCTACCTCAGCTTCCAAGGTCCTGAATTACAGATGTATTCCACCACTCTTGACCTCTCTGAGATCTTCCAACCTTAACAAATCTTACCTCAAGTTTTAGACTAGTATGTATATGATCTGCAAGGCCACGCACCCAGTTTCATCATCTTTTCAAAATGGCTAGACAGATCATGTGTAATAAGATCTGGTAAATATGATATTTGAAATTATGAATCCCAGAGGCAGGATTGCCATTTTCAGATGAAGTAGAGATAAGAGCCAGTGAATGACTGCTTTGCTTTTCTTGTCTTCAGGTTGAATCCCAATATCTGTATCTGGATTTTTATTAATGAGGCTACATTTGGATGGGTCATCTATCATTGGCCCACAGGCCTAGCATATCTGACAGTCTCTTCTGTGAGACAGGATGTTCTGACAGGCTGAGGGGTTTAAGAGTCAGTGGCTGACTGCATGGCTTTTCTAATCTTCAGGTTGAACCCCAATATCTGTCTCTGGGTTTTTATTAATCATGCTATATATGAATATGCACATAAATATGTAAACAACTACAGAAAATATGTACACGTCAAGACAGAGGCATGTTATATCTGCCACCAAAGTCACTGGCATGCTCCTACACCTAAACCAGGAGGAATGGCCCGGATCAGCCCTGGACCTGCTGGATTTGCATCGTCCCTTAATCCATCTGTGCACCCTGCCTTATGGCGTGAAATTCTGCAGTTCCAAAGCATGTGACCAGAATGGCGCCACAGGGTCACAGGTAAACTCGTGGGTATGGCGACTGGGTTTGAATTTTGCCCCCTCACTTATCTTTGTGTGAGGTTTCTAACAGCAAAGCAAACAAGCGGAAGCCCATGTGTGCCTTTACTCAAAGCTTAGTCACAGCGCTGAGCTCACCCCAGATGCTTGTCCCCTGCTCTTCTTCCTAAGTCCACGGAACCACGCAAAACCAACATGGCCTGACCACCTGGACTTTGGTATAAGGAAGGATCCAGCCTTGACTGTAGCGACTGTCAGTCAGGTGACATTAGGCAAGCAACTCAACCCAGGCTTTGTTTTCAACATATTCATCTATAAAATTATGATAAAACTACCTTCTTAATAAATTAGGGTTAAGCAAACTATCAAGAATTAATAGCTCAGAATGAGCCCTGGCATGGAGTAGAACTCTACAGATGGGGGTTTATTTATGCAGTCAATAAAATTGTGAAGTCTACATACAAGACTCAGCTCCCTGATGGAAAGAGTCAGCAGTAAGAGTCAGGGGTAGGTGGACAGGTGACTGCACCCCACACTACCAGGGTAAATGATGGGTGTAGTGATATGTGGACAGAAAGTGCTCCTGACATCTTTGTATAGGTCAAATGAAGTATTTTTGGAGGAAGCAACATTTCAGAGAAACCTGAGAAAAATGAGTAGTAGGTAAGTAGACTAATGAAGAGGCTTAGCTCTGAGAGTGTAAAAGGTCCTTTGGTGGTGGAGAGAATGGCATGTTTAAGGAATGGGAAGAAAGGCAGTATCTATGAAACACAGAGTTCAGAAATGACGGAACTCAGCCGGATTGTGGCACAGTCATAGAGCGTCCTCTTAGCTTGTGTGAGACCCTGAGTTCAGTTCCCTATAACACAGAGGAAAGCAAATGACGAAACTCACCCTGCAGAGGTGGATTCAAATCTTTAAAACTTTATTATTGTGTAAGGGTGTGTGTGTGTGTGTGTGTGTGTGTGTGTGTGTGTGCTACGGAGAGGAAAAGAGAGAAAGAAGGCATATGTATGACATTGGCACATGCATGTGGCAGTCGGAAGACAATTTTTTAGACTCTCTTCTTTTCTTCCGCTCTTATGTGGTACCCAGGGATTGAACTCAGGTCGCTGGACAAAGTGCCTTTGCCCTCTAATTTCACCAAACTAATAGGGGGATTTATTTTTGTGAGGCTGGCAGAAGCCATATCTCAGGGACCTTATCCCATTTACACTTCATCTTAAGACAATGGAAAGACTACAAAGGGAAGCTGACAAAAATCATCTTTGCGTTTTGAAAATGTCTCTACTGTTGTCAAAGGGGACAAGACCAGCTAAGAAACTACTGGAATGTGCAGTCCAATAAGACTCATGGGTGAGAGTATTGCTGATGGGAATATGAAGGAGGCACAGGCAAACTCAAAAGCCATGTTCACGTATATTGAAAAGAGAGAGAGGGGGGAGAGAGAGAGAGATTTGTTTTTCACTCTCAGGAGTATAGTGGGCACAGCACCCGGTTTTTCAGTTTGAAGAAATTGGCAATGGGCATTGGCATACTTTCTATCCCCGGAACTGCAAGGGGGAAGGATATTGGGATGGCTCTAGCTTCCAGAGGGTGACCATAGCTGTGGGAGTGGATGAGAAACTGCCGAGGAAAGCAAAACCAGAGACAGACAGCAAATGCTGCAAGGAAAGATAAAGAGGAGCTTTGAACCCCAGTTTGTATGCTGACCGCAAACAGTGCTAACCCTGGCGTGTCATTGCTCAAAGTTTAGTCCTCAGTACAGAGTTCCTGACAAACACATTCCTGTTGCTCTCATTCTTGTTCTGTTTGCTTTGCCATAAATCCTGAAATCTTCCTAGGTGCAATATGGCCTGACAAACTGAACTTTGCCATCAAAAAGATTCTAATCTTGGTTGTGCCAATTATTAGCCCAACAGAATTCAGCAAATAATTCAATATGAATGATTCTGGATTTTAACGTTTATGTCACAAAAAAATACTTCCCCTTAAGTTTAGTTACATGTGGAGGTAAATGATGTGTCCTGAATGCTGCACAGCCACAAACATTCCTAAAAATATAAGGATAAATATTATCACTTTTAGGACTGGCCATTTGTGTTAGAATCTACCGTTAGGCCACACATATAAGTTGGTAGAAAATGGCTCTCTTTTTGGATCTTTTTTGCCTTTTGTATTTGTGTGTGTGTGTTCTTACACTGCTAGTGTTTTACCCACCGATGCTCATAATAACATGCACCACCCTTCAAGGTATAGATCATATCATGCTCTGTGAGTTATAGTTATGTATGCTCAGTTACTAAAGAAGGTCCTTTGCTGACAGCTTCTACCACTCTTAGATTATTTTCTCACGGGACTTCATATGTAATCTTAAATCCCAACCTTTTGTAAGCCAAACAGCTCTTCCTATGGTTAACTTTTTGGGTTTACCATGGTGCTTAGCACAACATCTGAAACAGAGCATAAACTTTAAAACTAGAAATCAAATGTCACTGAATCGAATTGCAGTCAGGATTTCTGTCCTCTTGGCCTTCACGCACTTTTTAACACAAATGAGCAGTGCATTCCTCCTGTCCTGGTAACAGAGCACATTGGAGTTTTCGTGTATTATTTTATGCAATGCCAGGTCTCCACAGGCACAAGAACATACGTGAGAAGGGGATGCCAGCCTGCACCTTGAGCAGAAGCCAATGGTTGTTATCTCCAGACCTTAAAATGAATCCTGAAAAGCAGACATACTCCAACTCTAAGTAGTATTCCAGGTCACTATGGCTCTCTTTATTTTGAATATTTAGTTCCACTTATCCCCTACTCATGTTATTGGTGGGCAAAAAGCGGACACATGGCCATTCGAGTCTCCATATTTCTGAGAACTCAAGGATTAAGAGAGTAGCTCAAACTTTGCCTTGACATCTTCTTCCCTGTTCCCTAATGCTGTTAAATTATCTTTACTTATCCTATAGATGCTTCTAGAACCCATTTATGAGGACCTCCCCATACTTTTTCAGGAAATCCCTAACATAGGATTCTAGCAAGGAACTAGAAGACCCCAGAGAAAGACCTTTCTGCTGTGTGATGATGTGCAAACACCATCAAACTGCTCATGACAAGCATGTCCCGTGTATTCTCTGCTGGTTTCTTCCTTGGTCTCTTCTATCCAGCACATATCTGTTCCCTTAATTGGTTTTCATCTAGTCTCCCTCTTTTGTTTAGTTTGAGCTGATCTAGACCCACTCTAAAGGAAAATGCTTCGCCGTTCATATTTTCTGTCAACCTGTTTGACTCAAAAGAAAATCAAAATGGGACAAAGACTGCTTTCCTTCATCAAAGGCATTTTATCTTTGGATCTTTTGTGCTTATAGAAGAAAATATTTTTTTTTCTTCCTCCACACAGGAACAAAGTAAAAGAGTTCAGAGACAGATTGAGTAACCGAGCTACCTGTCAAACTTAAAAGGACAGAAATATGTCAAGGTCAATAAAGGTGAACTCAGGCATCAATATAGGTCACGCAGAGATACAGCAATGTCAATGGAGGGCCAACTGAAAATCGGTTTCACAGAAGTGTACACTGTACCCGCAGCACATTCTCTGCGTTGGTTGCTATGGGCAGACTGGGTATCAGCCCTCGAAAGTAGGAAGTTGGTCCACACATTCAAACTGTAAACCACTTGGGGAAAATACCCTGTCTGGAACAATGGCTTACACATAAACACTCCTTTCTAAGTACGTTTTTGAGTGGAGCCCACCATTTCCCAGCAGATCTAGCTATGACAGGGTGTAGAAACTATCAAGCGACTGTTTGGCCTTGTTCCAGCCATAGCTGGATTCTCCTTTTTCCTGGTATCTTCCTTTTCTCATGAAATGTCTGCGGTGGGGAAATTTGTAAACGATAGAAATGTGTTTTTCTGTTCTGGAGGCTTGGGGGTTACAGATCACATGGTCCCTGTAGACTCAATGTCTGGTGAAGATCCATTCTTCAAACACAGCGCAGTAAATGGCAGAAAAGATGGAAACACAGACAGGACCGGGAACATTCCTTAACCTCTCTTATGAAGACACCAATAAGCTGGTTGTGACAGCCTGTCGTCCCAGAGCTCAGTAGGCTGAGACAGGAGAATTGCCACATGTTTGAGGCCAACCTAAACAACATAGTGAGACCAATCCTCGAAACAAAACAAAGCAAAACACTCATCTATCCATAAGAACAGAGTCCCTGCGGCTTAATAATTTTTAAAGTTCCTTAAAAATACTGTCACCTTGGATATTAGGTCTCCGCATAAGACTTTAGAAATGGCACATACTCTCAAACTGTAGCAAATAACAAAGCTGAGTGGCAGCCTGTTGGTACAGGTGATTAGAAAAGAAATCCCCAAACAGCGCCCTCATAACAAGGGACATGTGAGCAGTTGCTCGTTCTCTCTGTGTGTGAGGACGCCATAAGAAGAGATCGTATTCCCCACAGTGCAGAAGCATCTTAACTTGGGAAACTGTCCTTCTTGACAGCTGTTGGGGCCAAACCCTGAGCTTTGTTTTTTACAGTTTCCCAAAGACATGGCCTAGCCTTATCTCACAGATTTGTCTTGTGTTGTCAATCATTACTAAGTTTGAGATTCCTCATTCTCAACTGTGTCCCTCCTCATCACAAACTCAACTGCTCTAGGTGGAATGAATGAGAATTTCTCCTCTGTCAAATAGAAGGGACTCATCTCCTTTACTTCTGACACCCAAGCAATACAAAGCCTGTGATACTGTTCCTTAATTCAGCCCCTCTCTTTAGATTCTTAAGACCAAATTGTTGAGGAATCAGTCCAGCATATATAAGAAAACAGAAGTAATCTGAGTAAGGATATAAAACAATTGTGGAAAAGTGATCATCTGTTGCATATGATATTTTAAAGTACTAGCCAGTCTAAAGTTTACAGTCTAGGGTTGAAGAAATTCAACAAGGTTTTCTTGAATGAAATAGATGAACAAAACACTTACTATCCCACCTACCCATCAACCATCAAATGTCATATTATGGTAATTCTTTCATTAGTCAAAAAAGAATTCTTCCTTTCTCCAGACATTTCAAAATACTAATGCTCCTTTTAGCATCATGCAAGTATTCCTCTGTTTGCGCATCAGATGTTCACATCACAAATGCAATTGAGATAATTCTGGATTAGATAAACTGAGGCAAAGGTAGCACAACCATACGAAAGATTAACTATGCTTGTCTCTCCATTGCCAGGTGAAAGAAATTTTTCAATGTCGTTTTAATCTTGTGAGACCACCATTACACACACTCTGCCCTTGATCCCAGAATCAATAAATACCACACGGCTGTACTGTCTTCTTTAGTGTCAAATACATCATATTCTTGTCCAATTATTGTATCATCAACCTCATGATAAATATAGTATTGTTATGACTGATGATTTAATGACTCTGAGGAGTCTATATTGCCACAAATAAATCATCCTGCCACTATATTTTTTATTATGTATTTAATTTATGTCCATAACATCATTATTTATTCTATACCACTGATTATGTCACTATAAATTCTGTTTTGTTAGCTGTATTAGATGTTATTGTTATGTGTCTTTGATGAAAACCATAGTGCAAGTCTCTTCTATTCAGATTTCTTTAACAGAAGCATCTAGCAATACACGTTCTCTTCGTGTTTACCTCTAAAGTCTTGGTCCACAATCATTGCATCTCTCCACTGTGTTCACTGTTATCGATCGCTACACCTCTGCCTTACAGTCACTAAAAGGAAGAAGAGTTCCAAGGCCTACTGTTAGGTGAGAGAAGCATTAGATTCCTGCAAGGGTAATACTAACTTGAGGAAACAAAGCATAAACTCCCGATAAAAATGAGACAGGGCCAAGAAAAGACCCAAGAGAGTGACAGAGTAATCGTCTCCAAAGCCCCGGGAAGAAATAGCACGCCACTCCCGACGATTGGGAGACAATTGAAATGGAGTTTGTGGAGAGACTGGAATGAATGCAGAGAGTGAACTGGGCAGGATTTGCCTCCACCTCTGCCACCATTTTATACTAAGGGAGGCTTCTCAACTGAAACGAAGCAAAGAGACATAATGGACCTATCTGAGCAGTAGAGGCCAAAACATCAGTCAAGACAGAGCCTAAATCCATCTTGTACCCAGTGTATATGTAACTCTACCCAAACCGACTCATAAAGTCACTGAAAACTGTAGAGGAAAAAAAATTGAATTGGTCTAAATAACTTTAGGGGGAAAAGTTTTGACTAAAAACTATAGGTTAAAGTAAAAATAAACTGTTTGTAAACACTGTGCTCTAGTTGTTAATAGTTCTCATGGGGATTATGGGTCAATAATCCTGAAATTCCTGAATATGTATCTTGGGACTGAACAAATGTGTATATCAATGGCAGATAGTGGGAGACAAGCCCTCACTATCAAGAGAAGAGTTATGGATCAGCAAGAGCAAAGTTGGAATGAGACCTGTGGTTCTGAAATAGAGTTATCAGGTGGCATGGATATGCACATAGATGATAGATGGATGAATAGATGATAGATAAATAGACAGACAGACAGACAGATAGATAGATAGCCAGATAGACGACTGTGTGTGTTTATCCATATACGTATGTCCACATACTTAATATTTCTTAGCTCTATTCTTTACAAAGTAGTAAAAACAGTGAGCACTCACTCGTGAGGGGCATAGTCGGTACTCAGATCTTTCTAATACCGTTCTCTACTGACAGCAAGCAGGGCTCCTGGAAATGGCTGCTCGAAGACTGAGGAATGGAAAACACAGATTAATCTGTAGCATCTTGCAATGTCAGGAAGTGAAAGATACATAGAAACGAAGGATGCAGACACCTGGAAGGGATACAACAGGCAACCTGAAAGGAGCCCGAATGTCCAAAGCTGTGATAATTTGAGTAGCAAAATATATAACTGAATTATTGCCCCAAATCCAGAATGAATATTGAGTTCATTTTTCTATAAATAATTGAATAACTGTGAAGCAGATCTGTCTTCCCAAAGAATTCTAATAAAACACATAGATGTCTCTCCACCCCTGCTGTGGGAACTCCTTCAGACAGTGGCCTTTAAGATACCAGCCCACTTGGGTGTGGCCTCTTAAACAAAAAATGCCAACTCAAAGCATGTGCTGGTTCTCTCTTCCAGCTTCTGGATTCAGCTCCTGTTCCCCATTTTTGCAGAGGATTGTGATCTGTCATTCTACCCCTAAATAAATAACCCTTTATTATGCTCAATTCTGAGCTGGTGAGGGATTATTTTATAGCGCCCATCACCATCCCTCCAGAAACTTGATACCTTTTATACCTCACTTTGTGGGTGAGATGTATGACTGTTTGCTTCCCCAAAAAGACTGTGCAAAAGGAAAAGTAATAGCTTCACAGTAAAGATACTTGGTAAACACCACCTTTAAGAAATAAGTCATCAAACTAACTTCCCAGTATTAAATGATGTTGACATCATATCATGTCCCCAGTGTGTTATGAGACCAACTTTAACACATGTGCATGCAATCACACACAGACACACACACACACAGACACACACACACACACACACACACCAGTAAACCTACAATATTCTGGTATCCCAGCCTTCCGAATCATGAAGCAGAATGCATAGACAAACAGCTAGATGACAGACAGATGGGAATTATTCCCCAAAGACTGACAAAACCAGAACTGACCTGGACTCATTAGTTTCAGATGTTGACTCCAAGGAAAACTGGGGATGTGGAGATTTAGGAAGTAGTGCATTTGAGGGCATAATTCTCTGTTTTAAGCTTCCCTTTGGTATCTGGGAGTGGTTATCTAGAAGGTAACCAGTGCCTTGCAGATAGTGCATCTAAATCTCACCCCTTATTCACCCAGTTGAAGAGCAAATCCTTACTCAAAATTGTCTGACTATCCTTCCTGGTTTCCGTTAGGCCAGGTCCCCATCTTCATTCTATCCTTCCAGTCTTTCTCCTACCTCTGATACTTTCATCAGGAGACAAAGTACAGGTTGGAGGAGAGGAGGGTATGGAATATAAGATGATTGAAAAGGACCTTCCTTTAAATGTGGCGTCATCATCTTTTCAAGAATCTTGCTTAAAATGAAACTATAAAGGAATATTAAGAACAAGTTATGGAAGAATATGCATAATTTGAAAGCAAGTATATAATAATAAAAATTTCATACGGCTATAAGTGAATATGTATGAAAATTCATAGGCAATGCTTGGGTAAGTCTTGAAAATTCGTAGGACAAACTATATATGAGCAATCACTTCCTGGAACAGAGAAAAGAATCTAGCATGGAATGTAACTTTTAAATTTTTACATGACTCTTTCACCATCCAACTCTTTTTTTATTGGTTTTTATTGACCTCTACATTTTTCTCTGCTCCTCTCTCTTCCCTCCCCTCCGTCTCCCCTCCCCTTACTCCCCTTTCCCTTTCAACCCTCTCCCAAGGTCCCCATGCTCCCAATTTACTCAGGAGATCTTGTCTTTTTCTACTTCCCATGTAGACTAGATCCATGTATGTCTCTCTAAGGGTCCTCATTGTTGTCCAGGTTTTCTGGGATTGTGATTTTGTGGGCTGGTTTTCTTTGCTTTATGTTTAAAAACCACTTAGGAGTGAGTACATATGATAATTGTCTTTCTGGGTCTGGGTTGCCTCACTTAATATGATGTTTTCTAGCTCCACCCATTTGCATGCAAATATCAAGATGTCCTATGCTGTACCAGCCCCGTGTGCTTCAGCAGCCCTCCAATCACCCAGTCCTCTCTTTCATATTGCTTCTAAAATCTTTATCCTATCATCCTGAACTGTAGTAAAATTTTCTCAGATCACTTTGTAAGTTCAACTAGCCACCTTTAAAGTCATTCCTATCGCCTCCGTCCCCAGCTCAGTCTGAGAGACCCACTAACAAGGGAAAGCCATGGTTCATAAGTGTTTAGTCTCATTCAGAACTCTCATCATGTTGAAATTCATTTCCATGCTCACTGCCCGTAGCTCAGGAGAGTGTTGACATTTGTTCTCATCGTGTTGCCCATGGGATCTAGCAGCTCTGCTAAAGGGAAGGGAGAAAACTGAGGCCTTTCCGGAGCCTACAAGACTGTGCAGGGGAAGCGTGCCTGTGTTTTTCCCAATACCTATGAAGCTCTCAGGGGAAGGATGCCCATTATTTCCCAAAGTCAATGAAGCTGTCAGGGGGAGCATGCCTTTGGAAAATAATGGGCATCCTTCCCCTGAGAGCTTCATTGACTTTGGGAAAT